ATAACAATAGTTTGCTCTCATACTTTGACCCTTGGGTGTTTATTTTTGGTGAGAGAAAAGCGGGTCAATGAAAATATGGCAGAGGTGTTTGACATTATCTATCATTAAAGAATGAGACACTTGTGCAACATTTGGGAATCTTTATTTAGGAAACATTTAGCCAGCAGTGGCTTCTTTCAGTCCAATACAGAGAATAAATGGAAGATGAGGACTTTGAGGTAATCAGTCCCTCAGCCTGGAGTTGTGTTCAGTCCATCAATCTTGAGAAATGTATAGCATATGTGTAGAGAAGTGGCTTATATACTGCAGTCAGTCGAGTAGAAGCAGGAGGAAGCACTCACCACTGGAGAAATCCATTGTTATCCAATGTGCTTAATGTCTGACGTGTCAGATGTGGCAGTTGTGTCGGCCAGGTCAAAAATGAGGGATGCGTTTGATGTATGTAAATCACGTAATGGATGGGACTTGAACATATGGCAAGTAAGTCCTAAAACTCACAGGTAAGTATGCTATGCTGGCGTGGGATTCACCTGTAAAAGCATTCATTTATAATAATAAAAATGTTTATTTACTACAAGTACATGTACATATACATGAAAGAGGGGAAGGTACCTAGAGATTGGCAGAGAACATGTATAGTCCCTTTATATAAAGGGAAGGGGGACAAAAGAGATTGTAAAAATTATAGAGGAATAAGTTTACTGAGTATACCAGGAAAAAAAAACCATACCACGGGCGGGATTTAAACCTGCGGTCAGAGAGTGTACGGTAGGGTTATAATTGAAAGAATTAGAGGTAAGACAGAATGTAGGATTGCACATGAGCAAGGAGGTTTTAGAGTAGGTAGGGGATGTGTAGATCAAGTGTTTACATTGAAGTAGTATATATGTGAACAGTATTTAGATAAAAGTAGGAAAGTTTTTATTGCATTTATGGATTTAGAAAAGGCATATGATAGAGTGGATAGGGTAGCAATGTGGCAGATGTTGCAAGTATATGGAATAGGTGGTAAGTTACTAAATGCTGTAAAGAGTTTTTATGAGGATAGTGAGGCTCAGGTTAGGGTGTGTAGAAGAGAGGGAGACTACTTCCCGGTAAAAGTAGGTCTTAGACAGGGATGTGTAATGTCACCATGGTTGTTTAATATATTTATAGATGGGGTTGTAAAAGAAGTAAATGCTAGGGTGTTTGGGAGAGGGGTGGGATTAAATTATGGGGAATCAAATACAAAATGGGAATTGACACAGTTGCTTTTTGCTGATGATACTGTGCTTTTGGGAGATTCTAAAGAAAAATTGCTAAGGTTAGTGGATGAGTTTGAGAGTGTGTGTAAAGGTAGAAAGTTGAAAGTGAACATAGAAAAAGAGTAAGGTGATGAGGGTATCAAATGATTTAGATAAAGAAAAATTGGATATCAAATTGGGGAGGAGGAGTATGGAAGAAGTGAATGTCTTCAGATACTTGGGAGTTGACGTTTCAGCGGATGGATTTATGAAGGATGAGGTTAATCATAGAATTGATGAGGGAAAAAAGGTGAGTGGTGCATTGAGGTATATGTGGAGACAAAAAACATTATCTATGGAGGCAAAGAAGGGAATGTATGAAAGTATAGTAGTACCAACACTCTTATATGGGTGTGAAGCTTGGGTTGCGAATGCAGCAGTGAGGAGGCAGTTGGAGGCAGTGGAGATGTCCTGTCTAAGGGCAATGTGTGGTGTAAATATTATGCAGAAAATTCGGAGTGTGGAAATTAGGAGAAGGTGTGGAGTTAATAAAAGTATTAGTCAGAGGGCTGAAGAGGGGTTGTTGAGGTGGTTTGGTCATTTAGAGAGAATAGATCAAAGTAGAATGACATGGAGAGCATTTAAATCTGTAGGGGAAGGAAGGCGGGGTAGGGGTCGTCCTCGAAAAGGTTGGAAGGAAGGGGTAAGGGAGGTTTTGTGGGTGAGGGGCTTGGACTTCCAGCAGGGGTGCGTGAGTGTGTTCGATAGGAGTGAATGGAGATGAATGGTATTTGGGACCTGACGATCTGTTGGAGTGTGAGCAGGGTAATATTTAGTGAAGGGATTCAGGGAAACCGGTTATTTTTATATAGCCGGACTTGAATCCGGGAAATGGGAAGTACAATGCCTGCACTCTAAAGGAGGGGTTTGGGATATTGACGGTTTGGAGGGATATGTTGTGTATCTTTATATGTATATGCTTCTAAGCTGTTGTGTCCTGAGCACCTCTGCAAAAACAGTGATTATGTGTGAGTGAGGTGAAAGAGTTGAATGATGATGAAAGTATTTTCTTTTTGGGGATTTTCTTTCTTTTTGGGTCACCCTGCCTCGGTGGGAGATGGCGGACTTTAAAAAAAAAAAAAAACACATGCACAAGATATACAGTCCTAGCTGAGATCAATGACATACTACTATATAAAAAGCCACCTGTTATGCAGAGCATTTCGAGCAAATTGGGTCAGTTTTGTCCCAGGATGCAACCCACACCAGTCGACTAACACCTAGGTACCCATTTTACTGATGGATGACCATAGACAACTGGTGTAAAGAAACACGTCCAATGTTTCTACCCTCACTAGGAATTGAACCCAGACCCTCGCCGTGTGAAACGAGAGCTTTAGCCACCAGGCCACAGGACTCCGTCCTGTGGTGGCCCATGCTAACCTCCCTATGGTGTATAAATATATCTAGTTGGATGAATGTTATTAGAGCCAGCTGGCCCAGTGGCTTACACACTGACCTGTGAGTTTTACCACTCACTTGCCATGGGTTCAAACCCCACCTGTTCTGTAAATTGTTTGCAATCGTGTTATAACAATTAGTGTTTAATATATCGGACATGACAAACGAGTTTAGTGTATGTACGTGACTCTTGGTTCAGATGCATTAGGGAGTACTCCAAGCAATCACACTACAGTGTGAGCATTTCACATGATTGATACACATCAGAAGATTCTAATTCAAAGAAGAGTAAGAGTCAACTATAATCTTTGAGGACACTATCTATCCTATAACATATGCAACCTACATTCAGTATTGTCAGCACTGTCAGACCAAACAGGCATTGCTAGGCAGATTGCATCCATTATATCTGTTAGTGGTCCTGAGAACCATCATTCCCACGACCCGATCTCAGGTTAGGCATTAAATATAAAAAGTGAAAAATGGCATGGTGATACCCATAAGATGAAAAAAAAGACACTACAGTTCAGGACATTTATTAGAGGATATGTTTTGCCATGAGTGGCTTCTTTAGTCCTAATGCAGAGATAACTAAGAAATGAGTATATTTATAGTGGCAGTAGTCAAGTGGTAAGTTGCAGAAGGCGGTAGCACAATTGTAGTGAGATGGGTTGTGTGTTATGCAGGTTTCTGCATTAATGTGAAGAAGACTTTTATATAATGTACAGTGTTTGTATAAGTGCTCCATAAATGTATTAATAAATGTCAGTGTTAGCATGGACATGTATTAGACACATTGATGAGATGTGTGGCATCAGCAGTTACTGGGAAGGTGTCATGGAACCAGGTTGAGTTAAGTAGAGCGTGGAGTTTAGAGACAGTTAATGTGGCTTTATTTGTCCACGAACTTGTTGGGAAATTCCCTGGTACACCACCACAACAACTGATTACCCTACCAATCCCTACACTCTTCTCTCTCTCTTTTAACCCTTTGAGGGTTTCGGACGTACTAGTACGGCTTACGACCCAGGGTTTTTGACGTACTAGTACGCCTAAATTCTAGCGCCCTCAAATCTAGTGGGAGAAAGTTGGTAGGCCTCCATATGAAAGAATGGCTCTATGTGGTCAGTGTGCATGGTATAAAAAAATCCTGCAGCACACTGTGCATAATGAGAAAAAAAAACTTTGACCGTTTTTTTGGAATAAAACAGCAACTTTTCACTGTATTTTCGTATGGTATTTATTGTTGTATACTAGTTTTCTTGGTCTCATTTTATAGAATGGAAGGCATATCATAGAAATTGAGATGATTTTGACTGGTTTTACAATGAAAAGTATCTTGAAATTGAGCTCAAAGTAGCAGAAATGTTAAATTTTTACCAAGTCAAAGAACAAATCAGGCAAGCGTCCAAATTTTCACGTCAACTGGTGAGTCTAATATTCTTTTGCAAGTGCGAAATATGATTCATCCCATTTTTTAGACTAATGCAGTATCTGCATACAGTAAATTTTCTATTTTTGCAAGAATAAAATCAAGTGTAAGCCAAAAGATGTAAGAGGGCCTTAAATTTGACTAATGAAGGGGAAATTCATTTAGTGCAAAATTTATTCTTGTTTTTTTTCGGACCCTATTCGGGAAATTGGCTCTTTGAAATTTGTGTGAAATTGGCAAATTCTAAATTTCGACCACTGAACTGGATAGTTGAAATTTTTAAAGGGTGGTTTATTGCACTCAAAATTTAAATTTTTGGAGTTCAAGCGAAATATTCATGTTTTGTCGACCGTGAAAGGTCTGGCTGAAATGGGGCCAAAAGGGAAAAAATCGCCGATCTTTAAACATCGCCGAGACCGCAACTTCGAAAGAGCAAATTCCGTAAAGTTTCCATAAAAATTCATATTTTGGTGCATTATGATCGGGAAAGTTCCTATCTTTTCGTAAGAAAAAATATTTTTTTTTTTTTAATTTGGCCCGACCCTGTAACGATCAACGGAAGGCCTGTCGACCCTCAAAGGGTAAACAATCAGTTTTCATGCTTATCCTCTTTAGAAAACAACCAACATCCAACTCATATTCATTAATTTTTTATTTTTTCTTGGGCCTTGGTTAATATCAAAAGAACTGCATGTAAAAAATAAAAAATGAATGATAAACACAGGTTATGGAAAGTGTTTATAATTAAAAAGCCAAGCTTCCAATTTGCACTGTGTGATAATCCCACTTTTTAGAGCGAAAAGCAGAAAAAGGTGTAAAAAAAATGTGAATCATGAACAAGCGAATACAGTAGCTGGAGGAATGAAGGATTGGGCTAAATCTTTCTAACTTTCCCATATATTTAAAATTTTCATGTTACAAGTTTTCCCTCCTATGTAACTCTCATGTTTTTTTAAGTCGAAATTTTTGAGAAGACCTTTGGAACTGAGTTCATGACTTCTACCTTGTGGAATTCTCATGTGTTTCACTAAACTAGATTTATCTGAAAAATGTTTTAGACACAATGAACACCGATATGGTTTTTCTCCTGTATGACTTCTCATGTGTCTTAATAATACAGATCTTTGTGCAAACTGTTTTTGACATTCTGAACAAAGATATGGTTTCTCCCCAGTATGAATTCTCATGTGATTTATTAAAGCAGATTTACTTGTAAACTCTTTTAGACACTCTGAACACTGATAAGGTTTTTTTCCAGTATGTGTTCTCATGTGCTTTATTAAAACAGATTTATAAGAAAAGTCTTTTTGACATTCTAAACACTGATATGGTTTCTCTCCAGTATGAATTTTCATGTGTTGAACTAAACTCGATTTTTGAGAAAAATTTTTTGGACATTCTGAACACTGATATGGTTTCTCCCCTGTATGAATTTTCATATGTTGTACTAATGCAGTTTTTTGAGTGAAGTCTTTTAGACATTCAGAACATTGATATGGCTTCTCTCCAGTATGAATTTTCATATGTTGCATTAAATGAGCTTTTTGGGTAAAATCTTTAAGACACTCTGAACATTGATATGGCTTCTCTCCAGTATGGGTCTTCAGGTGTTTTAATAAACTAGAATTTTTGGAAAATGCTTTTAGACACTGTAAACACTGATATGGTTTCTCTCTAGTATGAATTTTTGTATGTTGTACTAAACTTGACTTTTGGGAAAAGTGTTTTAAACATTCTGAACACTGATAGGGTTTCTCTCCGATATGAAGCTTCATGTGTTGTACTAAACTAGTTTTTTGAGAAAAGTTTTTTAGACACTCTGAACACTGATGAGGTTTCTCTCCAGAATGAATTTTCATGTGTTGGACTAAATGAGCCTTATGAGAAAAGTTTTTAACACACTCTGAACACTGGTATGGTTTCTCTCCAGTATGAATTTTCATATGTTGCACTAAACTTGATTTGTTGGAAAAGATATTTAGACACTGTAAACACTGATATGGCTTTTCTCCAATATGAATTTTCATGTGTGATTCTAAAAGAGATTTTTGGAAAAATTCTTTTAGGCACACCGAACAATGAAGTGTTTCTTTTCCTTTATGAATTCTTATCAGAGGTAGATGCTGAGATTCTTGTGACGTGTGTTTTAGACACTGTGAATATTGATATAATTTGTCTTCTGGCTGAACCTTAACTTGTTTTGCTTCAGCACACTCATTTTCAGGTATTTTAGACATAGTAAAACAGTAACTTAATAATCATCCACATAAATTATAATTTTTAATGAATACTTTATTACACAAAATGCTAGTTTTTCTGTAATATTGTATTACTTCATTATTATAAACAGTGGTAACTGTTGAACCAATAAGCATCACAGAGTCTGGGAAGTAGGAAGCACACCTCAAAGAAATGGAGAATAGTTTTTTCTTGGAACATGAGCAGTTAGTAGCAGCAAAGAACCTAATTTGAAGGATTTTATAATGTATACTACACAATGACATGTGAAAAGAATGTGTTCTCTATTAAGTACACATGCATGTCACTTCAATTAATATTTTATATGACAATGACCAGTGAATGTAAGGTTACAAGTTTTTCAAGTAGTGCATTAAATGTTATTCTTATTGTTAACATGATATATTTACTATGATTATAATTATTCATTGATGAATATAATGATTAATACAGAATTGGAGGTTTAACAAATGTCTGACACAGTATGGTAAAGTGATTGTTAAGCATAGGAATATTATGGAGAAAATGAGATGAATTTATACTATATGTGAAATCACTAAGTTAACAAGTATTAGACACCAAGATAAACAGAGCAATGAAATAAGTGAGGGAAGGGAGAGGAAACAAATGGGATATTATAAATAGTTATATTACATTTATTTCTTTGAACAAAGGTCATATAAATAGTACCTTCACCATAATATATAAGCATATATTACCAATGTACAATGGTCACATAAAAAGATTTACCACATTACCAGTTATGCATTTATTACCATTGCACAAATAGCAGGTTCCTCATAATATCAATTATATGCTTAACATTTGCAATAGTCATGCACACTGCATAATTACTCAATAATAAACACTGAGGAAATTCACCATACCACACAATGCCTGGTCACAGACCGGGCCATGGGGGCATTGACCCCAATACCCTCTCCAGGTATACTATTGAAAGTAAGAGATTAACTTAAGCACACTTTATGCTGATACTACTACATGCAATGCAAAATTAAGAAAATGTTCCTATTGCAGAGATGACGAAAATAAATCCCATCCGTGGTACAGTTTGTTTGCAATCGTTCCATTACGTTTCGTGAGTATCACAGGCTATTAAGGGTGTAGGTGTAGTAATATGGCACATTTATGGCACTGAAATTGAAACTATAAATGTGTTTCATTTCTAACACTGTGGTTATATAGTTCTATCAAGTATGTGAATTTCAGTGTTTATTCCATTTACATGAGCTTAGGTACGACAAGTGTAATTCAGCTGGTTCTTGGATGATCTGCAGTACTGACACTACAAGTGCAATTTCTCTAGTACCAGGATGACCTGCAGCATTAGCACTAAAGGAGTAATTCTTCTAGTGTCAAGATAACTAAGAATAATGACACTACAAGCACCAGCCTCTGGTGTCAGGATGAACTACAGTACTGCCAATACAAGCACCAGCCAATGGTCCCAAGATGACCTGTAAAAAAGAAATAATTGACACAATAAATGGTCTATATAAAAACATTTATCTTCTTTCTTTTTTTTTTTTTTTTGTTAAATTTCCACTTCAAAAATATTTTTGTTTATTAAAATTATCTAGTGTAAATCTCGTAAAGTTATACTTTCATATTACATAATTATAACATTATTACTAAATTACTTTTATATTCCTAAGTAACTAGTGTAATTTTTATAGATTCAGATTTAATCTAATTAACTTAAATTCATATACGTACATGTCTCCCTCAACATTTGCGTTTTCCACTTTTGCAGGCTTCAAACATTCGTGAATTCCCAGCCTCCCAATCATATTTAAAATATGTCATTACATATGTTAGGAATTGTGGTGGTGGCAGAGTTTGTTTGGAGATAGGACAAGATAGTCCTTCAATATCAACTCTATGGCTTATTTATCTACCACAGTTCATCTAATATGACATAATAAACAATATTAATAACATAGAAACATGACATATACTCTAGAATGAATAAAATACGTCATTAGGTATGTCACGAGTGTTGCTGTTGTTGGGTGTATAAGGGCCACTGAAAGCATAAGCTGTACATAGTGGTGGTGGTGGTGGAGGCAGCAGCAGCAGTAGAGACTAGAGACAGTGGTGTTCTCAGTCGCCCTATATACCTCAAACAACATTGGAGGAGTTAGGTTCGTGCTGTCCTTTTTCTAACGATTAATCGCTTAACTTACTTGCTACACTGTTAATGCTACACTTTATCACTGGCTGGTGCTATAGCCTTTATCGACTCCTGCTGCTTTAGTACCATACATATTGTAGAATCGCTGAAGAGGGCACATTCTCCCCTCTCTCTTCTGCTCATTCTCCTGTGAAATGCTGGTGCCCACTGGCATATGGGGAACCAAAATAAGCTGTGACATCACAGCTTCCTCTGTAATGCTAGACAATCCCATGGGATTTTTAACTTTCTCACAAGTCACAACCCCAGATATACGTAAATTTCATATACAGCCTCTCCTCACATAACGATGGAGTTCTGTTCCTAAGACCACATCGTAAAATGAATTCATCGCTATGTGAGGAACATATTATAATGGTAGTGGATTTGTGTCAACCATCTTTGATATTGTTTTAATGTCACCTTCACACCATTTACAACATTTGTGGTATACAGTAGACCGTCATTTAACATGAGTTTATTTGGCACGATTCGGGTATAGCACAATTGAAGAATTGTGGCACAATTTTCTTTAGCACTTCGTAAAATTAATTTAACATGGTTCAGTTTGCGGGAGGGGAAAAAATTTCCTTTTCCTCAAGCGGCAGCCTTGTTGTGGATCAGCAGGGGAGACCTCCCACCATCCCCTGCCACCCCCCCAACACTCCCGACACCACTGTCCCAGGCATTTGTACTTCATGTGTGTCCAGTTAGTTTCTCTTCTCTGCTACAAGCTAGCAGTGTTTGTGAATTGTGTTTTGATCTTTTAATTACCATATCTTGTATATGCCAAGCAATCATGACACCCAGTAGGCATACCAGTGTTACTGAAAACGGCAAGAAAAAGTATAAGCATTTAAGTCTTAGAATTAACAAAGAAAACAGAGATATTAGACAAGAGATAACCTGTTGCCATAATGAAGCATGCTTTGTGTACATAAAATGAGGTAAACATGAGTTTGTGTGATTGACTTACTGAATTACTTACTGACTTGACTGAATGACTTACTGACTTGACTGACTGACCTGACTGATTTATTGAATGACTTACTGACTTGACTGAATGACTTACTGACTGACTTGACTGACTTACTGAATGACTTAGACTGTACTGTAGGGTAAAATAGAACATAAATCCAATACAGAATGTATGCACACTCCAGTACAACCATCGACTTCAGTACCAGAACCTCTACCATCCACCTCAGCCCAGTAGGGCCACAGCATAACTCTCTCCACTCTCCACAATCATCCACAAACACCAGCACCCACAATTTAAGGTAAGAAATACTATTATTTCTGTTGCATTTGTAATCTTATGCAGTAAAAACAACATAATACATCACGACAATGAACTACAATTACAAATTCACTTTTATTTTTGTAAGAAGTGGAGGTCTAAAAAGAAGTTGTTTGGCTTTTTTGGGGCTCCCAGGAACGTAACTATTTTTCCGATAAGTTCTTCAGTTCATCTAACACAGCATTTTCAGGAACGTAACTGGCATGTTAACCCTTTGAGGGTTTTCGTCGTACTAGTACGTCTTACGCGTAGGGGTTTTTGACGTACTAGTACGCATAAATTCTAGCGGCCTCAAATCTCGCGCGAAAAGGCTGGTAGGCCTAGGTGTGAGAGAATGGGTCTGCGTGGTCAGTGTGCGCGGTAGAAAAAAAATCTGGGACCCAGTGGTGCATTGTGGGGAAAGCCCCCTAGTAAAAATGTCCAAACCCTGCCTGCGGTAAAAAGTCCTCACTCCCTCGGCGAAAATTTGGACACTTTTGTTCCCCAGTGACAGTTCTAATAGTGATGGAAGTGCCAGTGAAAATGAGTTTCGTGGTTTTAGTGAGGTTTTGACCGAAACTATGACCATAATATCGGTAATAGTGAAGAAAACCCAGACGGGCCCTCAGCCTTCCACCCTGGTGCTGGGCCCTCGTGTTCACGTTCAGTTGTTCCAGAACCCAAAAGGAAACTTTTATTTTCCCAAATCCCAGACTCAGATGAGAGCATGGGTGATATGTGATAGTGAAAATGAACTACAAGCTCTTCAAACTAGTTCCAGTAGTGATAGTGAAGTGCAATATTCCCCAGTGAAGCGTCAGTATATACGACAATATGCGCTCTGGAAGTGTGCCATATGTTATACCAAGGGAAGGAGTGTATCTCGGATACATCCCGTGGCTGTACAACAGGAACAGACAGTGAAAATGACGAAGATACTGTTGCCAATTGGGATGGAATATGTGCGTGGGGTTTGTGTGCCGGCGGTGAGGCACCACAGTGGGCCATGCTGCCACCCACGCTGCCACCCACGCCGCTGCCTCAGCTGACTAGAACCAAAGGCCACCATCCCCCACTCCCCCACCACACCAGCCTCCACAACCACAACCCCCACAACCACCTGTCATTGTCCATACCCACCAGCAGACCGCACCTGGGGTTTGGGAGGAAACTGCAATTTTGTTCCAAATCCCCACCCGTTTGATGGCACCAAAGTGGAATACGCCATCTTGTGCACTTGGAAACAATGCCACTGAACTGGAATGTTTTGAGTTATTCTTTGACGAAACCACTGATGAAAAGTATTGTCATGGGAAGCAACACATACTACGAGTACACCATGGCAAACACAATACTTTCACCAAAATCACGTCTACCCAATGGAAGGAGGCAACTGTGGCCCGAGATGTATCTTTTCTTTGCCACAATAATGCTTATGCCACATGTGTATAAGCACAAAGGGGAAATAAAAACTGGTCAACAGACCCCCTGATTGCAACACCAGGTTTCAGTGATATAATGCCAGTGAATCGATTTGTGCTAATGTTACGTATGCTTCACTTTTCAGATAAAACCAGGCCTGACAGAAAAATGACAGGTTTTTATAAGATTAGGAATGTGTTTGTGTATCTGAAACAGAAATTCAGTACTCATTTTTATCCCTTCAGGAAGCTTGTATTGACGAGTCTTTGATTCTGTTCAAAGGGAAAACTCTCTTTTAAGCAGTACATACCAAGCAAGAGGAAACGCTTTGGTATAAAGTTTTTTGTGCTTTTTGATTGTTACAGTGGCTGGTATTGGATATTATTGTGTACACTGGAAGTTATACATTGCAAAATACCAGGAAAGTTATTGGGCATCTCAGGTGATGTGGTTCGAACAATGATAGAACCATACCTTTTGGGAAGGGGCATATATTATATACATATAACTGGTACCCCAAGCCCCTCACTCAGTGATTTTTTGCGAGTGAACATGACAGATGTGTGTGGCACAGTGCGTGCAAATCGAAAACATATGCCCAGGTTGACGCTGGCACTCGCAGAGGTGAGGGTGCAGGCGTTTGCTGGCCAATGACATCCATGGCATTTCGGTGGCATGACAAACGAGATGTCACACTGTTTTTTATCAAATTCCCCCCTAAGAAATGGCAGACAGTGGCAGGCAGCATAGAGAGAGAAATGAACCCATTCTAAAACCTGCAGCTGTGATTGATTAACACCTTCAACATGCGTTCGTGGACAAATGTGACATGCAGATTGGGTTTGCTGATTGTGTTCGCAAGAGTTATAAGTGGTACATCAAACTGTTTTCCATCTTCAGGGGCATTTCCATGCTCAATGCTTATATGTATAAGATGAGCACCAGAACAAACCACAGTACGGCGAATTCTGTTTGTCTGTCATCAGACAAATAGTATTCAAGTACCAAGGAAATGCCCCCTGCAATTGACCGCCCACCAAATTATCAACAACTACCTGCTCGCTGAAGCATGGTGACACTTTCCCGGTAAAACTGCCTGCTACTGCTTTGAAGAAAAAGGCTCAGAAGAGGTGTTACGTCTGTTCACATACAAAAAACGCCCACAACAACGCGAGACACCGTTTTATGTGTGAGGAGTGCAAAACTCCCCTGTGCATGGGCACCAAGTTTCAAAGACTTCCACAGGCTGCAGACTTCTAGAAACATGTCCTGTGACTGTATATGTGTATATATAAAATATAGAAAAAAAGTAATAAACAACATTTCATATTGTTTGTTTGTGTAAATATTTTCTGTAAACAAAATAATGAAAACAGTGTTTACGCCCTTTTGTGTAGTATTGAAAAAGAAATAACTTTCAAAAACTGATCATGTTGGCCTCAGAGGCCATAAAAGTTACTCAGAAAAAGAAAAAATTGAAAAAAAATTGAAAATAGTACATAAAAAAGTAAATAGAAAAATACCGGGGGATGGCTCGGCGATGTTACCATATTTGTTCAATTTTTGGGAATTTCACACCTCCA